AATAAGTTCTTCAACCATAATAGCTCCGCTGATGTCATTGCAAGTGCAACATACTCGGCCTCTGTAGTCGAAAGAGCCACCGTCGACTGCTTCTTCGTCGTCCAGCAGACAGTATTTCCAAAAACCATACATAGATTTCCTGTGGTAGATTTTCGATCAGAACTTCCTCCCCAGTCAGCATCAGAATAAGCAGTAAGGGGATCCTTTACTCCTTTGCAGTATAGTAAACCAAGTTCAACAGTGCCCTGAATATAGCGAAGAATTCTCTTGAGTCCTTTCCAATGTGCTTCCGTGGCATTACCTTGAAATCTGCTGAAATGATTTACAGCCGTACTCAAATCCGGTCTTGTACTTAACATAAGATACATGAGGCATCCAACTAATTCTCGATATGGTTTAGAGTTTTCTATGGCTTCAGCGGTTTCATCCTCAGGTGGTTTAATTTCCATTGGAGTCTTCGCCGGTTTGCATTCTTCCATGCCAAATCGTTTTAGAAGTTTTTTAGCATATGTAGCTTGATTTATGTGAAGTTTATCGCTTGTCCTCTTGATGTTGATTCCCAAGAATGTTTGCAGTTCTCCTAAATCCTTCATGTGAAATTTGCTACTTAATGCCAATTTGAGCTCTTGAATTTTCTTCATGTTGTCTCCGGCAATAATTATATCGTCAACATAGAGTAACAAGTAGAGTTTGTGAGTGCTACTTTTATTGATGTATAGACACTTATCCGTCTCGGAGTTTTGCAATCCTAAACTTCTTACAAAATTATTGAAAATCTCATTCCAGGCTCTAGGAGCTTGCTTAAGCCCATATAATGTTTTTCGAAGTTTGCATACGAGATCTTGATGACAGTTGTATCCCAAAGGGGGTTTCATATATATCTCCTCCTTAAGCGTGCCGTGCAAAAATGCATTTTTGACGTCCATTTGGTACGCAAAATAATCCTCTTCAAGTATAACTGCTAGTAATGTTCTTATAGTTGTTAGCCTTGCTACAGGTGCGTACGTCTCCTCATAATCAAGTCCTCTTCTTTGAGAACAACCTTTGATAACTAAGCGAGCTTTGTAGCGTTCTTGTCTTCCTTTATGGTCGGTTTTTATTTTAAAAATCCATTTACTGTCTATAGAACGTTTTCCATCAGGAAGTTTTACCAAATCCCAAGTTTGATTTGATTCCAAAGCTGTAATCTCCTCCTGGATCGCTTGGTTCCATTGATCTCTGTCGTCTCTGAGTTTTATGTCCTCGAACGTTTCCGGCACACCATCAAGATACGCTTCTGCATTCAATGCTAATATTGCATAGTCTTCCAAATACTTTGGCTTTGACTTTAATCTCTCACTGCGTCGTACTGTATTATTCATTTTCTCTTGTGAAGTATTCTCGAGATCAAAGTATTCTCCGTCACTAGTATCACTTGAGTCTTTTGTTTCATTATAGTAGTCCTGTATTCTTTGATCCTTACCCGATTCCTTTAGAGTTTCACCAATTTCTTCGTCGTTCGTTTTGGGAGTTTCTTGAATTCCATATTGATAGAAAGAATCTTGAACTTCATTGAACTTAAATTTAGTTTCATCGAATATGACATCCTTTCCAAATAGAATTTTATTATCTTCTGGACACCACAAGCGATATCCATTAGCACAATAGCCAGTCATATAACATTTCTTCGATCTTGATTCAAATTTTTCAGACAGGAGTTCCTTTGGTATACGTAAATAGGCAATACACCCAAAGACTTTGAGTTTTTTTAAAGATGGTTTCTCTTTATTCCATAATGCAGCAGGAATTCTTCCATTCAGTGCTGTAGTTGGGCTTCTGTTTATTACATACAGAGCTGCCAGTACTGCTTCCGACCAGAACCGTTTTGCAAGTTTTGAGCCAAGTAGCATGCAACGTGCTCTTTCAATTATAGTCCGGTTCATACGTTCGGCCACTCCATTTTGCTGAGGGGTATACCTAATTGTGAATTCGAACTAAATTCTTTTTTCTTCAAAAAATTTCTTTATTTCATTCGAAATATATTCGCGCCCATTGTCGCACCTAAAACGACTTAACTTTAAATTAAAGTGGGCGGTTGCCATAGCTTCAAAAATTTTGAAATAATGAAAGACTTCTGATTTATGCTTTAGTATATACGCTGCAGTAAAGTGCGTATAATCATCAACAAAAGTTAAAACGTATTTTCTCTCATCATATGAAGTAGGACTTACTGGACCGAATAAATCGCTGTGAACAAGCTGTAACGGACATTTTGCTCGAATTCTGGCCTGATTATGTGGTTGCTGTGACTGTTTCCCTTCAATACAGGTTTGACACATTTCCATCGACGATTTGGTGAAATCTCCTTTTATTCCATCCACTTGTCCTTGAAGGCATTTTAGGCTATCGATGTTCAGATGTCCCATCCGTTTATGCCATAACTCAAGACTTTCAGTTGACGTGCATGCGTTTGCATTTGCTTCTCTGTACCTGAAGCTTAATAAATAGACTTGAGAATTTTTTCTCAACGCAACTGCTACTGTTACGTTGTCCTTTTCAATTAGACCTTTTCCATTTACAAAGGTTATACGAAAACCATTCATTTCTAGTTTCGGAACAGATAAAAGATTATATTGAAGGCCTGGGACTACTAACACATCTTTAATTTTTACAGTATTCTCTTTACCTTCGACTGTACTCACCACTTCAATATCTCTAGCTTGTCTTGCTTGAAGAAAAGTTCCAGACTTCGCGATTTTAATGTTTATTGGATTTGATAAATTTTTAATGTTTTCAAGTGGAACGTTATTACCTGCGAAATGTTCGGACGCTCCTGAATCCAACAGCCAATTAATTTGACGTTCAGTTCCATTTTCGGCAAAGGCCGGAAAACAATAACTTGGAGCTTCTCCAGTTTTAGTTGAATCCGCTTCCGAGGCTACGTTCGCTGTCTTCGTGTTGTTGTTCCAATTTCCTTGGGGTTTCCTACGACAATCTGCAGCTTTGTGCCCTTTTATACCGCAATTATTACAGGCAAAAGGAAATCGTTGTTGACCACTCTGTTGACCACTTTGTTGACCTTTATTTTGATTCGATTTTTTATATTTATTAGCAGGATTGTTACCTGTTTGCGAAGAGAAGGCGGTAGACGATTGTACCTCACTTTTTGGCTTCCGTTGTAAATCTTTTCGTTTGGATTCTTCATCCAACAAGCGATTCTTCACAAAGCTTACAGTCAGTTCTTTCATAGAGAGAGTTTCTATTGCAGTGACAACAGTGTCGTACTCAGCAGGCATTGTCAGTAATAGATGACATACAATGTCTGACTCTTCCAATTTCGCTCCCGTTGACCGTAATTCACGAATTAACTTGTCAAATTTTAGTAAATGGCTTGACAAAGTATCTTTTGATGCATTAAATTTCATCGTGAGAAGAGCCTTACGAGTTAGAAGCTGTCCCGCAATTCCTTTCCGTTCAAATGTATTACACAACGATTGCCATATACCAAACGCTGTTTCTTGATCCTTTGCATATTCAAGATGACTATCCGCAATCCTTTGAACAATTTGAGACGTGCACTTTCTGTCCTTTTTCTTATGTTTTACAAGTAATACTTCTTTTACAGCTAATTGTTGCGCCGTATCACTATCCAATATTTCTACCATATCCTTATATGATTTCTCAATATACTGTATCAAGTCGAATTCTGTTAGGAGAGTCTCGATTCTAAATTTCCAATTATCGAAGTTCGTGCCGTCAAACAACGGGACTTTGTACTTTTCTCGGTCTCCTTCGTCTGCCATTTTGTAGGTTAGCTGTCCTTTTACTAACGATTAACAACTTTTCTTTACAATATACCTTCTA